TATATATATTACCATATATAAAAGTTATATTGATATTATATTACCTAATACGCTTATACTTAGTGCATAGTACAGCATAAGTATATATATTACATATATATAAGCCATATTCGATATAATATTACCTAATACGCTTATACTTAGTGCATAGTACAGCGTAACTATATATATTACACATATATATGCCATATTCGATATAATATTACCTAATACGCTTATACTTAGTGCATAGTACATCATAAGTATATATATTATACATATATATATAAGCTATATTGATATAATATTACCTAATACGCTTATACGTAGTGCATAGCATGTTAGAGTATATTTTAGTCTATTCATCTCTTGTGTTACAAAAGTGTTAACGGCTTACATTTATATTATTTAGATAGTAAATACAAAAGTGATTTTTAATTTTGACCATTGTTGACCTGAAAAGAGACCAACTTTGGTCGCTAATTATACTTAAATGTAAATTAGCGACCAAAGCTGGTCGCTAAATTTAAATTAGATTTATTTATATTTTATATAATATTTAAAATAATAATATAATTGTTAAACGGGTCCCATATTAGCGACCAAAGTTGGTCTCTATTTTATAAGCGACCAACTTTGGTCGCTAACTTTGAATTATATTTATTTATATTTTATAATTTTTTTTAAATAATAATATAATTATTAAAATTTAATAAGTGGGTCCCACTATAGCGACCAACGTTGGTCGCTAATCTCAGTATTTCTTTGACCAAGCAAGTCTGACCAGTCCGGTCAACATTTTGACGAAATTATTAACCAAATAGCGACCAACTTTGGTCGCTAATGTATTTAAAATAATTATTTTATTATTTTCTCCAATTTAGAGACCAACGTTGGTCGCTTTTCTTGACAAACCAACTTTGATCGCTAAAGTTTGGTCGCTTTTTTCCGGAATTCTAGTAGTGTTTTACCTACTTTAAGTTTCACATATGATATACACAAACGTATCGTCAAAGTCTTCTGGCAAAAAGCATACAAAACTACGAACGCCGGAGAAATAGTTTATCAATGCATCTCAATTCTTATGTAGTGGCGGAGCTAGAATTTTCATTAAGAAGAGCCAAAACATAAATAAGTAATAAGCATGCGAAAAAATCAAGGGGAGTCACATAGTATATATGCATAAAAATAAAATATTTAACCTATCTATGTAGTGTAATTTTTCGACGAAAGAGTGTCAATTAACTTCCCTTGCTAATGAGTGGCTCCACCACTGGTCTCATGTATATAAACATAAAAATAGTTGTGAATATAAACCAAAAAATAATAATTGTAATCATACCTAATGCATAATATTATTGTCTCTCGCAAGCAGTATCCAATGCTTCAAGGTCGAACTATATACATTAAACTCATTTTTTCAACTCAAACCCTATAACGTCTAAGTTTTATCTCAACTCAGAACCAACAACGTCTAAATTCTGCATCCGCCATTGCTCTCAGGATCTACAACTTGAAGTCGTCGAGATGATCTCTCCCTGCTAAGAATCCTTCTAAACGAGCTCAATCTCGAGCTTGATCCACCACCACCAATAGTAGTTTTACCTGATGATGAAGTCCCTTCAAGATTCACAACCATAGACAAATTTCCATCGTCCAAAGGCGGCGCTGACGGCGGAATACGGCCAACGACACCCTCCCTAGGCTCAGACAATAGCCGAGGTTTCGCCTCAGCTCGACATATAGGACATGTAGAATGACAATTAAACCATTTGTCAATACACTCCACATGAAAAATGTGTTTGCAATTAGGCAAATTTCTAACAATTTCACCATTTTCAAGAATACTCAAACAAACTGAACACTCAATTGGATTAGTAATTGCCTCATCCATGTTATGGTCATCACTTTGCTTGTAAACAAATATTGGGAGTGAAGCTATAATAGATGGATCAAGTCCATTTTTTGGTGGCTCAACTTGTGACACAGTACTAGTAACCAAGCTCGACGCCGAGCTAAACGTAGCTCGGCGTCCAGCTTGGCGACATCGTCTAATGACACATCTAATGTACATATGGAGAATAGTAACGAGGAAAACAACTATGGATAGTGAAATTATGGCACTGAGCATAATTTTGCTGTTGATATCATATTTGTTTTTGTGGTGATGAGTAAATGGATTATCATCTTCATCAAAGCCCATATTGAGGCTACCGAGTTTTGAGCAGACTACAGATTCATTCGACGATCTTTTTGAAGAAGAAGGTGTTGGTATTTTACGTTCAAGATTTAGGTTTATTAATATAAGTACAAGTTTTTCTATGTGTTTGGTAGTGTTAATACGTGTACGTATTGACTAATGAAAAACGTGTTTTCATGGAAAATGAAAGGAACAAACAATATTGAAACTATATAAGCGCACATTTTCAACCATTGACTTGTTGAATATTTTATACTCCTATTTAACTTACTAAATTTTTCTCAGCAACAGTTAGAAGAGAAGTTTCTGCATATTTTCCTTCTGGCAATATGTCACCCCGGTATAATATTAAGATGAATTTAAATCGATTGGTTAGTCAGAATTTATATAATATAATATTAAATAAAAGACTCTCCGGGGTGACCGAGTTGGTTGAGCAGGTGACTTTCAAATGGGAGGTCTATGGTTCAAAATCCACTTGCATACCTATTCGGTCGAGCCCATTGCATGGAGCTTGCCTAAAACGGTTTACCCTCTTATGTGGTTTATGAACTATTATACCAAAACAAGGTTTACGATGTGCACACTCGAAGGATAGCGATTACGAGTTCCCTTATTAAAAAAAAATATTATTGTGATAGTCACAATTCAGGTAGGAATTTTGAATTTTGCATGTATATTATTATATATCAAATAAAAGGTGGTTTTGTACGTTATAAAATCCCCGGGCACATTTTTCAAGGGTAAAGAACTTTGAACTCTTAAAATAACAACGATCACAACAATAATAAATAAAATAATAAAATAGTACGATGCAATGTAATATATAGGAGTATATAATATGAAAGTCTTATATGTCGACAGAAAATTTTATGGGTCATCATATTTAGAGTAAAGACTATAATATGTTTCAAACTCGAGACTTTGCAACCTATATAAGTAAATGACGTGAAGACTGAAACTTGCTTTCCTGGTCAAGTTGAGAACATTTCCAAATTCCTACGCCATTCTGGTTGGCCCCGTAAAAAGGACAGTTGGGTGGACAAAATATGAGTTCGAAACTAAAGTATTATTTTTTCGGACTCGAAGATTTATAATAGGTGAAAAAAACAATTGGTGACCATTATGTATATTCATGCGCTATTTCTTAACGGTACGTTTGTCCGTTAAGGTATAGCTCATGGAATACATGCGCTAAACCTGATTTTCAAATGTTGGTCAAAATACAAGTATAACGCATATATTAGATGCACTATACATGAAGTTGAAAAGACAGATAGGTATAGCACATCTAATATATGCGCTATACCTTTATTAAAAACGGCCAGTCTTCTTCTTCGGGATAGAAGACAAAAAACGGTCCCCTCCTCCCCCCAATTTTTAAAGCTTAAAGCTCCATTGGAGCCCACCCGTCCCCCAAAAATCGTGTCCCCTCATTATTTTAGCAAGCTAACACCCGATCCAAGGCGTTGTTGTGTAGTGGATCTCTTTTATTGTTCGTAGGGATGGCAATGGGGCAGTGCAGGTGCGGGCCGGTGCGGGTATGGGAGTCTACGGGGTGGGGCACGACGGGTTATACAGCTCGCGGGTGCGGGGCGTGGCGGGTTCAATTTTTTAAAAAAAAAAATCACGCGGGGCGGGGCGGGTCGCATGTTAGAGATATTTTTTTTATACTAAAGCCTAAAGACCTAAACTAATGCCGCCTACTATTGTGACGACCCGACTGGTCATTTTGAGCAATTGTGTCTGGTTCGGCAGTTTGAGGTCACAAGCAGCTTCATATTATGTGTATCGACTTGCATGCATGGATGGAATCTGTTTCCAGATGAATATGAGTCGAATTGGAAGAAGGAATCTAGTTTTGGAAGCTTAAGCGGTGAGAATTTGACCGGAATGCGACACTGCAGCCTGCTAAAAGCTAGTAATCTAGTTTTGCGAAGTTTCTGTCGCAAATGAGACCTTAGCAGGGTGATTCCATGCTTCGCATTTGCGAACCCAGTGTCGCAAATGCGACACTGTAGCCTGCTAAAAGCTGAGATTTACGAGTTTTTGCTCATTTTTCATATTCTTTGAACCCTAACTCCGGGAGTAGGCGATTTTGAGGGAAGATTTTCATACCAAATCATTGGGTAAGTGTCTCTAATCAATTTCCAACTATATTTTGTGATTATATCTTAGATTTAATATCAAATTCATGAGAATCTAAAGGAAAAATTGGGAACAATTGGGAAAATTTTCAATTATGTAAAATGATAATTTGAAGGACCAAATGATATCGGAATTTGATAAATCTTATATGGGTGAACTCGTAGCGGAATGAGTATTCGGTTTTTATAAATTTTGCCGGGTTCCGAGGTGCGGGCCCGGGGAGTTGACTTTTGCTGACTTTTTGCAAATTGTGTAAGAATCATAGTTTTGTTAATTGAAATTGTTTTCTCTTGCATTGTTTGATGTATTCAAGTCGTTTTTGGCTAGATTGAGCCGAGCGTTGGTGAATTGGTAAAGGAAAAGCTAAATTGAGTATTGAATTTGCCGGATTGAGGTAAGTATCTTGCCTAACCTTGTGTGGGGGACTCTCCCTTCGGAATTGAGTCTTCTATGCTATTTGTAGTCCGTGCACGCGAGGTGACGAGTGTGTGCTCGGACTTATTTGTGGAAAATTTGCCTTTAGGGTTCTTAGGTCCTTATGTTCGTTGAGTGGGAAGTTTCACGATATGATTGTGTTTCTTAATTGCTTGTTTTACCTCTATATGCTCCATACAATGTTGTTAACTTTCCTCTATTTCTTACTTGTTACTTGGCCCTTAATTGCCTTAATTGGAGTGATTGTCCACCTATCGTTTTGTTATTCTAATTTGTGAAATCTCTCTCTGACCCCGTGCCTATATGCTATGTGTCCAAATTGTTGTGGTTGCCGGTGTAGTTATCACGTGCTTTATATGTCTTGTTATTTTTGTAAAGGTTGTTGTGCTTCTTTATTTTTTCGTGATTCTCGTGTTGCCGTGTACTCATACTCTTGGTGGTAGAAAATCCTTATGATTGGGTTGTTGAATTGTTGTTACTGTTGTTGATTTTAAACTATGTTGGGTTGTTGATATGTTGAGGAGGAATAAGGGAGAATTGATGTTGTTTGATGGGATCGGGTTGCATGCCGCAACAAGGAGTAATAAGGGTGGACAGGTAAGATCGGGTTGCACGTCGCAACAAGAGGAATAAGGGTGATATAGATATTGAGGAGTAATAAGGGTGGACTGCTGAGATTGGGTTGCACGCTGCAACAAGGAGTAATAAGGGTGAATGATCATGTTGTTACTGATACGATGATATATATACTGTTTACTCTTATTGTAATTGTTAAGGAGGAATAAGGGAGGATTGGTGGGATCGGGTTGCACGCCGCAACAAATATATAATATTTACTTTTATTGTAATTGTTAAGGAGGAATAAGGGAGGATTGGTGGGATTGGGATGCGTGCTGCATCAATAGGTATATGTGTTTACATATTCCTCTTGACTGTACAAGTTATTCGGTGGTTTTACATTTCATTTAGGATTTGGTTATAGCTGAATACTGAGAAGACCCTGGTCCATTTGTTTAAAACTTTGACGATTTGTGTTTCGGGTTTCGCTGAGTTTTGAGGGTCACTTATTGGCATTGAGTTGTTGACTTACCATTGCTCCTTGAATTCCTTCTATGAAACTATTATTCCGGTGAATTAGTATTTAAAGTAAATTTACTATGTTGAATCATTTCCTCCGGTCCCGTTAAGTTATTAGTAATATCGTGATTTAAAATAAAGTAATTAGTACATTGCTATAAATGGCTTTCAAATTTGAACCCACCGTGTATATGTACACACCTTTCAAAAAAACACAATTTCTATAAATGTTAGGGTTTATATCAATTAGTTTCTCGATTAAATTTTCCTTAACCCAATGATGTTGAATCTTACTTAAAAGAGAATTTCTACTAAGTTTTAATTTCATTTAAAATCCTATATTAAATGTAATAGTTCATTAGATGTTATATTTTATTTAAAAAGGTATTTTCTATTCAATGATTCTAAAATACTTCATCTTTTCTTGTTGATTTCCAAATTGGTTTAGAAGTCGTAATCTACTCATTGTTATGTAAGTGAGACTCCTTGAACATCTTTATTGAATTGGTTTTGGACCCTTTTTACTGAGTGGCATGAGGATGATGTTGATTAAAGTGAGATAGAGATATGTGGGCACAAGGTGCCATATGTACTAAAGGTGTGGGACGTGATATTATCATGAGATACCGAGGATTGAGATGGTCGGAATTGTATATTAGAAATGATGTGAATGATTGAGTTGGCATCGCTTCCTTTGTTTGAACGTATCCTTACTTGTCTGTGTTCCGGTTATGTTAGTGTTAATTTACTTGATTATCGTTCATTACTATCCGTGTTCCCCTTTATAGTCTCTACTATTTGTAGTTGGATGACTCCCTGTTATTTCTATTACTTTGTTAATTTTATCTTGATAGTTCATTACTATATCCTGTTCAATTTTTTTGACTAGTAGGTGTCTTGACTGTTCCTCGTCACTACCCCACCGAGGTTAGTCTTGATACTTACTGGGCACCGCCGTGGTGTGCTCATACTACGCTTCTGTACATTTTTGTGTACAGGTCCAGGTATTTGATCGGTAGTAGTTGTGCGGATCGTCGCGGTGGTGACTCAAGGTAAACCTGCTACTGCTTTCGCAAGCCTCGGAGTCACCTTCGTTTGTATTTGCTTTCATTTGTTCCTTCTTGTTCTGCAACAGTGTTGTATTTATTTTGTAATACTACTCTTAGCAAGGCTTATGAGTTGTACCACCGATTTTGGGACTTCTAAATGTTCAGAGTTATATAATTTGAAGTTAGTGAATATTCATATTATTTCTGTTAATGTTAGGCTTACCTAGTTTTGAGACTACGTGCCATCATGACTCCTTCGGAGGGATTTTTGGGTCTTGACAGGTTGGTATCAGAGCTCTAGGTTCATAGGTGCTACGAGTCATAAGCAGGTTTAGTAGAGTCTTTCGGATCCGTACAGAGACATATGTACTT